AGGGGTCTGGGGACCATGCTTTCAGGGGACATCTAGGTCAACTGGCATAACAAAGCTTATTAAGAAAATGTTCTGCATCCTATTTTGGTGAGTGGCATCTGGGGTCTTAAAAGCTTACCAGCGGCCATCTAAGATGCATCACTTGGTCCCAACCACGTAGAGCAAAGGAGAATGAAGAACACCAAAGACACAAGGAAAGTATTAGCTCAAGAGACAGAAAGGGCCACATAAACCAGAGACTTCATCAGCCTGAGACCAGAAGAACTAGATGGTGCCCGGCTACCACCAATGACTGCCCTGACAGGGAAAACAACAGAGTCCCTGATGGAGCAGGAGAAAGGTGGGGTGCACAATTCAAATTCTAGTAAGACCAGACTTAATGGTTTGAATGAGACTGGAGGAACCCCGGAAAGCAAAGCCCCCAGATTCCCTATTCGCCCAGAACAAAACAATCTGAGGCCAACTCTTCAGACAGGGTTGGACTGGACTGTGGGACATAAAGTGATACTCGTGAGGAGTGTGCCTCTTAGCTCAAGTAGATACAAGAGACTAAACAGGCAGCTTCTGTCCAGAGGAGAGATGGGAAGGCAGAAAGGGTTAAGAGCTGGTTGAATGGACATAGGGCATCAGGGGTGGAAAGGAGGAGTGTGCTGTCACAGTATGGGGAGAGCAATTAGGGTCACATAACAATATATGTATAACTTTTTGTATGGGAGACTAATTTGAAATGTAAACTTCATTTAAACTACAACAATAAACAAAAAAGAGAGTGATAAGAAAGATGGGCTAAAGGCCAAGGCGCTGGCTGAATCCCTGGGCCTGGGAGCTCCACCTGGATCTCTCCCCAGGCAGAAGGCAGAGCTGGGCTTCCCCAGGCCTCAGGGCAGGCTCACCAGCCCAAGCTCTGCGTCTCCACCTAGGGCAGAGTGCATCCTCCCTTCTCCTCCAGAGCACCCAAACACAAAAGGTGAATTAACTTTTCCTCGGGATTCTTATTTTGAAAGCCCTACAGGAAAAGAAAATTAAAAAAAAAAAGAAAAGAAAGCACATCATAGGTTATTTCCTTTAGGCCATTTTCTGCCAGGTCTTCACTCAAGTTGGTTTGTTGTTGGTGTTCTGAACTCCCTCAGCAGGAGATGAGATCTGGAAGGCCCATGACCCAGCCTCTGCCCTGGCAGCAGACCTGGGATTCAGCTGTCCTTCACAAGGCAGGGCTGGACACCCCCAGGGCTTACCAAATGGCATTTACAGCTGAAGAACTCCACCAGACCAAACCAGACCAGAAAATAGACTTTAATTTTACAGGTGCAAATATTGCCTTAAATTCACAACAGTTAAGAAAAATGTATACAACCTTTGGTGTGAAAAGAAAAGTAAAAAACAATCCATGGTGAGGGTGTGGTGTGCAAGTCAGCCCAGGAATCCGACTTTCTGTCTCTTGGGCCCCAGGCTTTCTTCCTTGTGCAGGACACTCTGCAGGGAGGTGTGCAGCACCTTGCCCACTCGCTTGCCAGTCTGCAGGACAGAGGACAGGGGAGAGTATACCCAATGGTGAGGCACACCCACTCTGACAGGACAATCTCCCCTTTCTGCCAGCTAGCCCCCCAATGTTTACACATTCCACCTGCCTTAGAGGGCTTTATATGATTAAAACAGAAACAAACCCCAAATCCTAACGTAATGGTTGCATTCTGGAAAAAATCTCCATCCTGTAAAAAAGATGCCGACCCCTAGGCAGGAAGCAGCAGAGCAGAGGCTGCCTCAGCCATTAGCCCACACTTAGCGTTCTTGCTGCTGTTACAACAAGCAGCAAAGCTGTCCACCAAATCCACACTTGGGTTACAGCCTAGTCACACTGTACTGCAGTGAGGCAAAAGGAGCCCACAGAGAATCCAGAGTCCGCGTGATGAAGGAGCAGAGGGTGCCAGAACACATTTAACAAGCAGTTTCTAACTCACCTTCCACCAAGCTGTAATAAACTGCTCAGATGTGAACAAAGTCAACGCCTGTGTGGGGTCTTTGGAGTTATTCCCATGCAGAGAGGGGCTAACTGAGGCAGGTCAAGAGGCCAGGCACCCCCACCAATTTAGTAACCAGCCCTTACACAACAGCCCTAACGGGGCTCCTCGAAAACCTCCCAATATACACAAATCTTTCTCTATGAAACTTAATCTCTAGGCCTGTGGGCTCCTGAATCATTTTAAGAATACAACCAACCAACTATTCCATCAAGTCTTCCATCTTCCCACAGCAGTTGATTCAACTCTGCCGCTGGTTCGATTCTCAACGAAGTCGGAGAGAAAGACACCCAGGCCTAAGCCCTGCGCCCCAATCCCCCCATGAGCATGTGTTCCCCCTAGAGCAGAGCCTGTGTGCCTTCTCCTCTGGCCTCTGTGATATGGGACAAGATTCCAAGTAATACTGAAAACTCGTAGGGAAAGATCTCAGTCCAAAGGCTGAATGGAAAGGCTTTGAAACAGAAAGTCGAGGTTAAGTTCCAAAATGACTTTGGAAAGCTTTTTATCATAACACTACAGAAGAAAAAATGTCAAAGTCCATCAAATAGGGAGCACTGGTTATGCACATAATGGAGAGGAGGGAGGAGGAGACAGAGGAGGCAGGTGGGACACTAGGACTTAAGAGGTCTTTAATACCCTTGAACGTGGACTTGCAGGAAGGAGATTGCAGAGGTTGGGGTAGCAGCCTACGGAATGACCCGAGGCTCCTGCTTCACTGTTAGAGGCATTTCCTGAATGCTGAGTCCGTTGCAAGACCTAGAGTGAGACAGGGCGACAGGGCCGTGGCCCTGAGCAGGGTTTGCAGACTTCATCCCGGAGGTCCCAGAGGAGAATGAGGCTCAGTTCACTGAACAGAGCTCTGGTTCCCTGGCCACAGGGGCGAAGGTGAAATGGCACTGGAGCTGCAAGTAGGGGCTGTGGAGCACAGTCTGCCCTGAATCCTAGCATTTATGAGCTCTGAGACCCATAGGCAAGTTACTCGTCTATAAAACTAAGAATAACAGTAGTCGTCTCGCAGGATCGTTGAGAATTAAATGAGATAATATGTTCAAAGTACTTAAAACAGGGTCGGGCACACAGTAAGCACGCAGTAAATTTTAGCTATTATTTGTTTGTTGTTTTTGCTGTTTAGATACTGGAAACTCTCATAAAATTCCCTTTTGGGGTGAGTTCCTTCTAAAACAAAGTTTGAGAGCCACTGATATAGGGAGGCCTTTGGCAGAAATTATAAAGCATTTTAAGTGCTTTTGTTTAAAAATAATTAACCCACCAACCATGAACGATACCCGCTGCCATGCACAGCTGTGGACCCTGAACTCAGGGTGCCAAATGGAGCACAGAGAACAGGAGTTAACCATTACCAGGCACCCAGATGTCTGACCCTCTGTCACATGCTTCCCACCTACACACTCGCTTAACTCTAATAACACTTAGCGGCAGGTCTGTAGTACCGTTACCCCCATTTTGTGGGTGAGGGAACTGTGGCAGAGATGTTTAGTGACACAACGGCCCAGAGCCAGGATCTGAAGCCGGGGCAGTATGTCTTCAGAGTCCATGTTCTGGTCCTCAACGCTATACATACTACCCATTTTGTTTTTTAAAATAAGATGACAGAGAATAGACATAAAGTGCTCGAATTCTGCTGTGGAAAGTCATTGTCTCTATGGATGAAGGAAGAGGTAGACAGCAGCCTTGCTTGCTGTTAAACAATGATCTCTGGGTGTGTGTTGTGGTATACTGTTACATAAAATAAACACACACACACACAAAAGCAGCTCCAGCTAACTCTGTTCCTGGCAATTCAGTCAGTCAGTAGCTTGGTCCCCAAAGACTCCTAGAAAGTGGAGGTGGATACTGGGAAAGGCCTGGGAAGACACAGGTGAGCAGGACCTGGTCCCCCTGGTCCCACCCCCCAGGGCTCCCAGGTCAGTGAGGGAGACAGACCCAGTGAACAATCAGTACAGAGCAGCTGGAGAAGCGCCCTAATGGTGCTGCCAGATGGGCTGAGGGGACCCGAGGGGAGCAACCCATGCCCCCTGAGGTGGTTGGGAGGATGTCCCCCCATTCCCATTTGTCTCAATTTATACACCTCCAGGCCTGTGAAGAATGGGGGGACGCCATCCTTCAGGCCCCTGGCTCCACCTGTACTCACGCCCTTCAAAGAAGAGGAAGCAGTAAGTCAGGAATTCAATTTTCCCTCATCAAATCACAAAAGCTTGGAACTTTTGAGTTGCACGTGACTCTATCCAATCCCAACACTCTCATTCAGAAATGTGAACGCTGGGATCAGAGAGGGGAAGGAACTGGCTGAGGATGAGCAACTGTTACTGCAGGTTCCTTGCCAACCCGCCCAGAGGCCCCCGCCCCACCACCCCTGGGTAGATCCACAGACCTCCGGCTCATACCAGCCGTTCACCAAGCTCCAAGTCTGGGGTCAGGATGTGACCTGCCTCAGAACTAGAGCCTCACCTCCATCATCTCGAAGATGCTCTCTGGGTCCAGGCTGCCCTTCCCCACTTTCCTCATGCACGTCACAACCCCCGTGCTGGTCACGGACACTAGCAAGCTGGCCAAGGAGCAGGCCTCCTCCTGAAGAGTGGCATCCACCACGTGCCGATAGCCGATCTGCAAAGTGGGGGCAGCACAGCACACATGGGGAACACACATCCAGGTCACCGCTGTACCGCCTCAGGGTGGGAATATCTATACCAGCAAAGGGCCTGCATCGCCCATTCAAGATCTTATGTTAGATTCTGCTTACACATAAAACATCTGAAAGGAATGCTCAGCAATCCTATCTCAGGCCATGGTGTGAGCAGTGGTAACAGCAACACGAAATGGCAACATGGGGCTAGGGGGAGGCTAGAACTGTAACTCAGAGACCATTCAAGGTAGGAGCCACTGTTATGGATTGAATTGGGTCCCTCAAAATATGTGTGGAATTCCAACCCCAATACTTGTGGTGGCGCAGTGGTTAAGAGCTCCACTGCTAACCAAAAGGTCGGCAGTTTAAATCCACCAGCTACGCCTTGGAGACCCTATGGGGCAGTTCTACTCTGTCCTATAGGGTTGTTATGAGTCAGAATGCACCCAACGGCAACGGGTTTTGGAATACTTGTAGATGTAACCCTGTTTAGAAGCGAAGTTTTCTCTGTTATGTCAGTGAGGCGGTATCAGTGTAGATGTAACCTAAACCTAATCACTTCTGAGTTATAAAAAGAGCACATTAGACACAGACGCACATACAAACTGGGGAAGACAGATGCTAGGTGAGGATTGCCAAGGAACCAAAGAACTCCCAAAGCTACTGACAAGGAAAGACTCAACATGGCTGAGACCGTGCTTTGGACTTTTAGCCTCCAGAACTGTGAGAAAACACAGTTCTGTTCTTTAAAGCCACTCACTTGTGGTACTTATGTTACAGCAGACCTAGGCAGATAAGACAGACCACCAAGGTTTGTAATAGAGGGGCAGAGTGGAAAATACATGCAAAGGGCTACATGGATGTTGCACTGATGAGAAGGGTAAGTCTAGAGGGTCCATGTTCAGGGACTGCTCAAGGAGACAGGTACAAGCACTTTTGGTCAGTTCCAACGTGCTTCTGTCTGAAAGTTTCACGATACACCCCAGGTTCAGGATGTGATTTCAGTGCAATGAAACCTGACGTGGTCAATGTTACATAATGAATTCTGTGTGGAATCAGTGACAATCCCAGCCGATACGGGGCCGTCTGCACAGCCTTGGGTGGTGCCAGCTAGTTACACATCAGCATAAGCCAGGTGGTAGGCCCACGGACCTGTGTGTTAACATAGAAACCACACCTAACATATTAGATGCCCAGGACCTGCTCCAACCCCCTCATTTCATAGATATGGACACTGAGGCCCATATTGGGGATGGTGTTAACTCTCAAGGCAGGAAGCCTGCTGGAGGCAGGGCTGGTAATATGACTGGGACCTTACTACTCAACCACCCCAGACTCCAGAGTTGAGGGAATTATAAGAACAATGCATACAAGGTGCTTCAGTGAAGTGCCTGGCACAGAGAAGGAGCATAACAAACTCTGGCTATTATTACTCTGAACCCACTCCTATATTTCTGTGTCCTCATCACATCAGCCAATTAAAAAGAAAAAGAGTTGTTCATAGTAATAGTTTCTTCTCATTTGACCAAATTATTGAATTTGGGTTAAAATCATTTATATATGAAATTATAACTTCCCAGTGTATTAAGTAACCTTCCTATAAGGAAGACATAACCCATTACATATAAACTCATACCTTGCACAGAGTGACAATGCAGGGGACATTCTCCACACACAGCCGGATGCAGTCATACGGGTCATCGAAAAGTTCAATGTCCTTTGACCCCTCTTCGTCCTCCAGGACGCGAACCTTTGGTATCCTAGAAACAGAAGTAAAATTAAAATTCCCACTTACTGGGAGGAAGAAAGATAACTTCTTTTCTTGTGAATAAAAATAGGCGTTGTAATTCCTGTGTCTCACAAAAGAAGTCATGCTGTGCCTGTATTTTATCATCCTCGTCCCCATCATCTCTGTCAAAAGTACACCAGTGACACTGCAGTGAGGAAAAAATGATTCTGGGCCAATCAGATATCTACATGGAGAAAGATTACTCTCAACCCCTACCTCACACCATACACAAAGTCCATGCCAATGGGCTACAGATGTAAAGGTGAAAAATAAAAACAATAAAGCTTTTAGAAGAAAACAGAGTATCTTTGTGACCTTGGAGCAGACAAAGATTTCTTGAACAGGACACAAGAAGTGCTTCCTATAATGAAAAAATAAAACAAATCAGTAGATTCAACTGTATTAAGATTATGGACCTCTGTTTGCCAAAAAGCATCATTTAGAAACTAAAAAGAATACTTAGAGTGGGAGAAAATATTTGCAAATATATATAGCTGACAGATTACACAAAGAACTCCTGCTGAAGAAAGAAAAAGATAGACGACTCAACAGAAAAATGGGCAAGAGACTTGACAGGGATGACTTCCTACACAAGGCTATCCAGGGACCCAATAAACACACAAAAAGATGTTCAGCTTAAATATTCATCAGGGAAATGCAAATTAAAACTACAATATGATACCAAGAAACACTCACACCAGAATGGCTAATATTAAAAAGACAAAAAAATGCAAGTGTTGGCAAAGATGTGGAGCAACCCAAAACTCTCATACATTGCTGGTGGGAATGTCGTTAGGTGCTGTCAAGTTTTGACTCATAGTGACCCAAAGTGACAGAGTAGAACTGCCCCATATGGCTTTCTAGGCTGTAATCCTTATGGGAGCAGATTGCCAGATCTTTTCTCCTGTGGAGTTGTTGGGTGGGTTTGAACCGCCAAACTTTTGGTTAGCAGCCAAGAACTTAACTTTGCACCACCAGGGCTCCTTGCTAGTGGGAATATCACTTTGGAAAACTGGTTTTGCAGTATCTACTAAAACAAAATAAGGCCATACTCTAGGATCCAGAACTTCTACTCCTACCCAACAGGAAAGGCTAAATATGTGCACCAAAAGACCCATATAAGAATGCTTATGTCCGGCACTATTTGCAATAGCCCCAAACTGGAAACTACCCAGATGTCCATCAACCGTAGAATGAATAAATAAACCGCAGCATACTTACACAATAGAACAACATACATGAAAAAGCAAACTATGACTACAGGCACCAATAAGATGTCTCAAAACATAATGCTCAGTGAATGAGGCAGACAAAAGAGAACACACTGCATGATTCCATTCATATCAAGTACAGAACTTATCTATTGGGTCAGAAGTTAGGACAGTGGTTCTCCTCTGTGGGAGTAGTGACTGCATGGGGAACAGGAGGTTCTGGCATGCTGGAAAATACATTTAACCCATAAAGTCAATTCACTTCAGCCTAGGCTGGAGGAACCAGGAAGGAAGAGGTAGTACATCCAGATACTGTAATGGAAACAATGCTGGCGCCTTTCCCAGTTTCTCTAACAAAAGTCCCCCTAGGCCATCCCTACACAAGGCGGTGTCTAGAGCTGAAGAGCTTTAGCCAGAGAATGTCCACAAAAGCCAAGAAGTCCTGCTGGGATCTGCCCTGGCTGGACCTCCACATCAGGAGCCTTTTAGGTGTTTAAGTACTGAGTAACTCATTCGCTCATCTCCCAAACCAGCAAATATCCTATTTGAACAAGTCAGGTAGCCAGTTTGATGTGCTGGGTATACTGGTATGTTAAAAAATACATACACACACATTGTGTCTCCCAATTTCCCAACCCTCTTGCCACAATATGGCTGGGCAGAAGGATCAGAGAATACCCTCAGATGGCCTCTACACCTTCTACAGGACTCTGACTGTGCAAAAGGTCCCTCTAAGTACCAGGGGATCCAATGCCTCACACTGGGCCCTTGCTGCCTGCAGGGAGTTCTAGGTCTGGGAGTGAGGCTTATGGCTGTGCCCATGACAGGTGTCCTCCTCAACCTGAGCAGCTGGGTTTTACCATCCTGATGTACGGAGTTTGCCCAACACCTCCGCCACAGTCACACAGCCTTGTCTGGCTCCCAATCTCTCTTCCTGCCCTGGTGTCCATGGACACCAGCTGGCAGACAGAGACTCATTTCTGAGGCTCGAGGTAGACAGATGGCAACTTCCTCTCCTGCTCCAACTGAGCCCAAGCAGAGGCTGCTGCTGCTGGGGCCTGGCACACAAGATCCAACATGCCAGCCCCCATAGTAGTCATGAGCACCAGGCCCACACTGCAACTAGTCTCAGCTAGGCATAGGGGACTCTACAAACTTCATTCCTGGCAAACACTCCATCCTGCAATTTTCTGCCCTAAATTTATTTAACTTTGTTTTTGTTTGTTTTAAATTACACAGGTAGCCTAAATTCACCATAACAAAATCCTAAAATATAGATAAATGTTCAATCAACCAATAACATACGCACTGAGAAAAAAGCACAACGGCCATTTTGGGGTATACATATTTTTCCAGACATCAAATATAAGAATTAACAAAAGCAAAACACAACAAAATAAACAAACAAAAACAAGATGAGAGGACTTCATCTAGTGAATGGTTTTCCATATCAATAAACCCCTAACTATGTGGATTTCAATTGCCTCTGGTGGGACATTCGGGTTGTTTCCAATTTCTCATCATTACAAATAAGTGGTGATGAACATCCTAGAATCAACGTCTTTGCTCACTTGTCCCATTACTTCTTTAGGATATTTCCCTAGAAGTTCCTAATCCTCAGTTTCTAATACCCTATGGTCCCTCACTACCTTAACATAAGCTCTCTGATGGAGTGATCACCCCACCCATAGATTTATTTTCAAATATTCCAAACTCTTGTGAAAGTACCTGGTACATAGAAGGGGAAAAGGGTATAAATCAAACAGTCAGAGGAAATACTGATTCCAAAAAGGCTTGGCCACGTCCCTAGCCACACAGTCCATCTGGGAGACTGAACCACACTAACGTAGCCATTTCCTGCTATTAACTTAAACCAAAGAGCAGGCTGCCACCCTGCTTTTCAACCACTGATCTGTGCAATCAAGAAATACGTGAGACCAGAAGAAGTAGATGGTGCCCGGCCACCACTACCGACCGCTCTGATCAAGACCACAATAGTAGGATATGGACAGAGTGGGAGAGAAACGTAGACCGAAATTCTAACTCATAAATAAGACCAGACTTACTGGTCTGATAGAGACTGGTGGAGCCCCTGAGACTATGGCTTTTAGACACCCTTCAAACTTGGAACTGAAATCACTCTCAGAGATCACATTATAGCGATACAACAGATAAGCCTATAAAATAAACAGTAACACCAGTGAGGAATGTATAACTCAGAACAATCAACTGTACAAGACCAAAAAGGGCAGCATTTGCCCAAAAGCAAAGTTCAGAAGGAAGGCAGGGGCAGGAAAGCTGGGTGAATGGACCCAGGGAATCCAGGGAGGAAGCGGGGAGAGCACTGACACATTCAGGAGTTTGCAACCAATGTCACGATACAAGCCGAGTATAAATTGTTGAATGGGAAACTAATTTGCTCTGTAAACTTTCACCTAAACAACAACAAAATGTTAAAAAAAAGAAATGTGTGCACTTATTATGTGTCAGGCAGTGTTCCTGGTGCTGGGGATACAGCAGAGTATAAAACAGGTAAAAACTCCCACCTCCATGGAGATCCATCCAGTCATATTATTTGCACAGTTGCCTGTAGTTGATTTCTACTTTTTGCTTCTCTGTAGTTTTCTAATACTTTTCAACATGATACATAATCACTTATGAAAATAAACCCAAACCCGTTGCCGTCGAGTCGATTCTGACTCACAGCGACCCTGCAGGAGAGAGCGGAATTGCCCCATGGGGTTTCCAAGGCTGTATGTAATCTTTACGGAAGCAGACTGCCACATCTTTCTCCCATAGAGCAGCTGGCAGGTTCAAACCACCGACCCTTCAGTTAACAGTCAAGCGTTTAATCACTGTGCCACCAGAGCTCCTTCTTAAGAAAATAACAATACATAAAATGAGTACAGAAATATATACATATATTTAGTTTTAACTTACTAAATCTCTCTTTTCTGGAGTGTAACATCAGATACCACCATTTTTCAATGCTAAAACCCCTAGCTATCTTTACTATATGAGCTGCATAGAAATCTCCCCAGTCTGCTCAGGTTTTCATCAGGCTGTGGGCCTGCTTCCAGGAAGACTTACCTTGTATTGAAGAGGGCAGCCTTTACAGCAATGGAGATGGCATCAAACAAGTTTCCACCACATTCCAGCAGCTGAGGGAGACAGGGATTGAGAGAGGAGGAAAAAACAGACATCATTTATTACCTGAGGTGTTGTTCAAGCCCAAGGAGAGGGATTCCTAAGCAATGCTGATTGAGTCTGTCTATAAAATAAAGGCCCACCAGCGCGGCTGCTCTCCTGGCTAGTCCTGCAGTGAACACATCTCACTGCCACTCACAGTACAACCACCCGAACTACAAGCACCTTCTCCTGGCTGTGCTTCATGGGCAGTGGCATGAGATGGCACAGCTGGTGCCTCCTGTGGGGATCTCTGCTCACAGGCCCACCAGCCAGTTGGCTCTGTGCTGAAGAAGGTTTGGTCACCTGTATTTTGCCCCAGGTACCTCCCCACTGCATTGCAAGTATTCCTCCAGCCTTTGCTACCATACTGCCTGGACTTCAGGTAAGCAGTAAGTGACAGCCATGGATGCTGCAGTTGCTACCAGGCTCACAGCTGTGAGTGTTACTTAGAATACTACGCTTTGTAATTCATTACAGTAAAAGCTAAGACTGGTTGTTGCTGCTGTGTTTTTTTAGAGTCTGCTCCTCTTCATGTGAACGGTGAATTCCTGAGAGCTGAGACCCTGTCAGTTTTGGTCATCTCCTTATCCCCAGAGCCCAGAGGGGCTGCCATGCAGAGACAGCCTGGTAATGATTTGCAGAAAACAAAGCCTGGGCCTTCCCAACTCAACTAATTCAAAGTCAACAATTATACTTGGAACATTTCATTCATGCACCTCATTCATACCCAGTGCAAACCTCTAATTCCCAACCGTAAGTTTTCCAAGCAAACTTCAAGTCTAGATACCTCTCCTACAGTCTTACATGTTGTTGTTAGTGCCCTCAAGTTGGCTCCAACTCATTGTGACCTTATGGATAACAGGACAACACCTTGGCTGGCCCTGCGCCACCTTCCAGCACTACATGGGACAATATTGTGTTATGATGCATAAGGTTTTCATTGGTTAATTTTTAGAAGTAGACCACCAGGCCTTTCTTGCTAGTCTGTCTTAGTGTGGAAGCTCCACTGAAACCTGTCCACCATGGGTGACCTTCCTGATATTTGAAATACCAGTGGCATAGCTTCCAGAATCACAGCAACACACAAGCCACCACAGTACGACAAACTAACAGACAGGTGGTGGGCAGCCTTGTATAACGCTGCTTATTAACATATCACCAGTCCCTTTGCAACTGCAGCTCACTCACCTAGCAACTGGACTAGCTTCTCTTCACTGGTGACTGTTCTGATACAGACTGCTGCACAGTGAAGGGCACCTGGGCCAGAGCCAGACTGCCCAGATTGAAGTCCTGTCTTCAGCAGTCAGCTGCGTGACCCTGGGTGTTACTTAACCTCTCTGTGCCTCGGGGAGGATAATAATCATACTTATCTCACAAAGTCCTTATGAAGGCTGAATGAGATATTTATAAAGCCCTTAGAAGTCTGGTGCATAGTAAGTGTTGGCTAAGTGTTTTTAAATAAACACTAATTCGCCCTTTCATTGCCCATTGGCTATCCCTCGTGGACTTTCTGAGGCTGTCTGCTACGTGGTCTTCATCTTCACCACTGACAGCAGGTTCCTAACCTGGCTGTGCATCAGAATCACCTGGGTGCCTGTACTTTATTTCAGTCTCCAGGTGGCCCTGACCATCAGCCAGGGCTGAAGCCTACTGCTTTATGCTCTGCTGTTTCACAGTACAGTAGTTGCTTTATGCAAAAAAAAAAAGTGCTATATAAACGCTGGTGTCTGTTCGGGTAGTCGTGGACCCTCCACGCTGGAGAGAACCCCGGAGAGCACCTCACCCCCACTACCCGACAGGTGGCCCAGCAGCCTGATTCCCAGTGTAGTGCTCTTTCTCCTGTCCTGTGCTATGGCCCAGTAAGGCTAGACATATACTTTGCTTTCCAATATTCTAGCTCATCAGTAAGAAATGAAATTAAGAGGGCAGAATGCTAAACCCTGAGTACCTGCTGAGGGGCCCCCAGAAGGACAGGTGCCAGTTAGCCTGCTTCCCTTCACAGGCTGCAAAGGAACAAGCTGGCCTTTGGCCCAGGACTGCCAGTCCAGACTCCTCACGGGTCACCACACACAAGGGGAACTCAGGTGCATTCTGGTGTCAGGCAATGGGGGTCTGACACCCATCTCTGCCCCCTGCTGGCTGCATGTCCTCTGAGCTTCAGTTCCCCCTCAGTAAAGCAAACCCATACTTCTCTACAGGGCAGCTGTGGGGGTTCTATGAGATCACATCCTTTAACTGTAAAAATGGTGTAGTAGAGGCATCTGACCTCCTCTAACTTTACAAAAGGGAAGGAGAATCAATATCAACAGCCCAAGGCTGATTCCTATGAGGCAGAGGTCAGACATGCCTCCTCTCTCTGCCATCTTTACCAATTCTGACACTAACCGTCCCTCCCACGGCTCTCTCCACTTCTCTGCTGAGTTTGATAATTTATTACAATGGCCACACAGAACTCACAGACCACACTCACGATTATGGGGCTTATTAGAGAAGTAACAGGTTACAATTCAGGCTCAGGAACACTCAGGATACAGTTCTTCCATCAGGACAGCCTCTTCTCAGCCGTGCCCACAGTCACACCTCTCTCTGCGCCCCCCCTTTTTTTTAGGGGGAGGTGAGGCAAAGGATAATGTTCTTCAGATACAGGATGAAACTTGAGAGTTCATGTCCCTGGGCAGCTATGGAGCCTCGTAAGGGTAAGGAGTGTAGGCTCCCAGTTCCTGCCCTCTCAAAACCAGGACTGCAAAATTACCTGGCTTAGCAGGAACCACACTATAAGGTACAGTCTGGCTTATTACAGACGAGGAAAAAGTAAATGGACTTCTACATATTAGCATAAACATTCTGAATAGAATAGCCCTAACAGAAACCTGCTGGGTGATGGTAACCATTGCTGTCTTTTCACTGTGCTCCATCCATTATCAAATTAATTTTAAAATATCCAGAAAGCCTTCCCCTGTTTCATATGGGGCTGACATTTAGAGACAGTCAGGCCATTCTTCACGAAGTTCACTATCAGTCCACAAGATCTACTTTATCACCAGATTCATTAAAGAATCTGTGTGGTCAATGGCTTAGCCTTGTGTCTTCCATCTGAGGTAGAAGACGCAGTTGCTAATCTCAAGGTCTGTAAAATTTAATGAAAAGGAATAAAACAGACCCAACCAGAGCCCGTACATGAACAAGCAACTGACTGCTACATTATTATACAAAAGCAAAACTAGAGCTGCACAGAGAAGTTTCTATGAAGTGCTGAAAACCGGGGAGAGGAGTATTTGGGAGAGAAAGCACCAGGGAGGGAATGGAGGGCTGGACTAGAAAAGACTCCCAGAGGAGCAGACTCGGGAGGAGGAGGAGGGGGAGGAGGAGGCAGGGCTCAGCGTCCTCACCTGGGAAACGAGGGCTCAGAGCACACAGGCTCTAGGGTGCTTTCAAGGGAGGATGGCAGAGTGAGGTCAAGAGCAGGTGTTGGCATCCAACAGACCTGGCTTTGAGGCCGAATACCACCACTCACCAGCTGAGACCCCTTGGACTAGTTCCTTAACCTCTCTGCGTCTTAGTTTCCTCACTTTAAGTGGGGAAAATTAATAGTGCCCACTCTCAAAGGGTTTCTAAGTTTTAAATAAAAATGCATGGAAAGAGCTTATCATCATTCCAAGCAGAATATGCCAACTTGTCCAAACTCTGCCCATCAACTCTGTCTGGCTCCATCTAGAGGGCATCTCTTGTCTTTTTGTTTCTCCCCTGACAACTTCTGTGGATAACTTAAAGTACTACCATGATATGACTGTAATTTTAGTATAGGATGGTATTATATGTATGTTACCATATGAATGTTGGAGCCCTGGTGGCACAGTGGTTAACAGCTTGGCTGCTAACCAAAAGGTCAGCAGTTTGAATCCACCAGCTGCTCCCTGTAAATCCTACAGGGCAGTTAAAATCAACTTAACAGTAATAGGTTTTTTTTACATGAATGTTACACTTAATAAAAAATTATGACAGCAGACCATCGTTTCCCAACTAATCTTCACCCTGGAAGTCAAAACATCCATGTGAAGAGGGAAAAAGCACTAGGATGAAAGTAGGCCAGCTGGTCTACAGCAAAGGGAGAGTGTGGCTGGTACAGCAACATGACACTCACCAGCACATCCACGTAGAGGATCCAGCAGTGCTCCCGAGGACTAATGCAGAGGGACTTCAGGTCGACGCTGCTCTTATTGTTAAATATCCGGTACAGCGTGTTTGCAATCTCTGTGCCAAGGTCATCACCTCCTCGGCCTTCAAATTCAGGGGTGGCATTGGCTGAACTACAGAATAGCAACAGAAAAGCTGGGTGAGCCTTTCCAAACGCAAAGATCAAAGAGGCAAGGCTTTATTCTAGTTTCCCTATGCAGTGTTAGAAGAGGCAGCAGCTACCAGGAAGTCACTGAAATGAGGAGGGACAGATGGCATCTCCACCTTTCCAGCGTCCAGTCACACACCAGCACTGTGCCTTAGAACTGTCAGTGTGTGTGATGGGAGTTCCCACTGACTTCTAACCAAAACCATCTTTACCCAAAGAGACATAGGAGAGCAAAGGAAAACTGAACCTCAGCCGGTAATAATTAACTCTCTTATTTTGAAAGTATAATAAATGCAGGCCCAGGAAGCTGGGAGGCCTAGAGAGTTAAACAGTCCACCTTACAGAGGGGGTGCCTTGTATACCTACCCCCAGTTTTCACAGCCTTAGAATCCACTATGGTACTCTCAATATAAAAACCACAATGTAAATGTAGTAATCTTTCTGGAATGGTTCAGAAGATAATGTCTGACAGTACACCAGAGTTATGTCATAAACTTTAAATGAACATAAGAGACTGCTGGCTGATGAAATATTAAGTTACCCCTTTTATTTTATTTGATTTTTTTTTAAGAGGAAAAACTTTTTGGTCTCTTGACACTTATGCCCCAATTACCTCAACAAAGAATGAACAGGATTCAACATTTGCCACCACAAACACTAAATAAAGTGCTTAACCAGAAATTTTTGAGGATATCGACTTAACACAGACCAACCCTTAATATGTCTGTGAGACAAGTAAACACTGCGATAATCCTTTTACTGTAATGACAAAGGGCCAGAAAGGTAAGAACCAGCTATATCAGGATGGGAACTACAAAATTATATATTGAAGCTTTCTAGACAGACCTCAGCCCATCTGTCTGCTCACTCATCTATCTGGAAGGTACTCAGCCCTGTGCAAGGCACCGGGGAGCTGGAAATTGAGTAAAGTGGACATAGACCCTAAGCTAGCAATACCGGTGAAGTAAGGGGAGTTTCAGGACAGGGAACAAACAGCAGGGGGTGCCAATGAGCACTGAGGGTTGGGAGACGGCAAACCTGAAGACAAGCACGGAGTTGGGAAGGCCACAGAGAAGTATACTGATTCTAGCAAAGCAAACAACCTGTGTGAACACTCAAGGCTGCGCCCCGTCCCCCCATTAATGTAAAACAAAAGAAATCTCACCTGATTCATACTTAAAAGTCCGTTTTGTCTAGTCTGATCCCTGGTGTCGAAATGGTTAAGAGCTATAGCTGCTAACCAAAAGGTCGGCAGTTGAAATCCACCAGCCGCTCCTTGGAAACCCTACGGGGCAGTTAATTCTACTCTTTCTATTCTGTCCTATAGGGTCGCTATGATTTGGAATCGACTGGACAGCAATGGGTTTGGTTTTTTTGGTTTTTGTCTAGTCCACCCTAATTAGGTGTAAGAATGAACTCTAAAATAATCAGATTGCATCGCTGTGTAATAACTTTGCTTTTCTAATTATAGTCTTCCCTTACCACTATCGGCCAGGAGAACTGCAATTTAAAATCCCAAAGGAAACTTTGCTACTGCCAGAGCAACCTTGCTGGCTGTTCACCACCTCTACCTGACTCCGTCACCAAGCCGTGAAAAGAAGCTCACTTATCATGAAAAAATCACATCACCAGGGACCAAGCCGATTTTGCAGCCAGCAAAACACAACCTCTTTCTAGTTTAGACACTAAGCAATCAGTATGAAATCCCATCTTTTAAAGGCTTAAAAACACATCTATACAGATCTCTGTGGAGACAAACCAGTCAGAGATGCTTATGCTTAGAATGTTTACCTGTTCCTGAACCAGGTGGGCCTGTACATCCTCCTGGGTGTGACCAGTTACTCGGGGATTACTGCTTTAACTATTCTACAGCCCTAAGGGATGAATTTACAGAACTTTCCAGGTCTACCCATCTAAATTAGTCTACCTCTAAAACCATGCCCCATTGTTTTGAGGTTTTTTGTTTTTCTGACACTGGGCTAATTTAAAGTAGAAATGTTAGCCTTTTAAAACAGTTTTTTTTTTTCTTTCAACAGGTCATTCTTTCAGCCTAGCTGGCAACCAGGCGGAGAGGAAGGTTCACAGCCTCGGAGACCATGGGAAGCTCCTATGTCTGGGTGGTGCACTGGCTGCAGGCTGACGCTGGGGAGGAGGCTGGGAAAACGGAAGGTGATTTTCAAGGTGTGGGATGGAGTGTGGGGGTTTGGTAACATAAGAAAAGCCCAGAGAGCCTGTATTCTGCCATAGGATAAAGAGAGAAGCGAGAACAGAGAAACAAGGGTTCCACGTTGTATCTAGGGCGCTCACAAAGACCCTTTCCGACAAAGATGGACAGAAGCACAGACCTGGAAAGCTTAAAGATCATCTTGAGAGACAAAAAACCAAATGCTTGCAGGGTCAGACAGGTGACTACGTAAATCCAAACAAAGGGACACATGTAATTAGCAGGCAATGGTGAAGACTGTGGCAAGCCCTCCAGCCCTGTCTAAAGGCAGTTCACTTTATCTTTATAAGAAAGTCCATATGCTAATACAGGTGGGATTTGGCCTACAGGATGACACTGTGAGATCTCTCACTTTACAGGAGAAGAAACTATAACAACTTTTTTGAGTGCCTACTATGTGCTAGAAACCTTCTCAGCTATTCAGATGTTTTAACTCTCACAACTACCCTGAAGCTGTTGTTAGGTGCCGTCCAGCCAGTCCCGACTCATAGCGACCCTATGTACAACAGAATGAAACAGTGTTCGGTCCTGCTCTGCTCTCACAATTGCTGGTTTATGCCTGACCCCATTGTTGCAGCCACTGTGTCAATCCATCTCGTTGAGGGTCATCCTCTTTTTCGCTGACACTACTTTACCAAGTATGATGTCCTTCTCCAGGGACTAGTCCCTCCTGGTAACACAGTCAAAGTACGTGAAACAAAGTCTTGCCATCCTTGCTTCTAAGGAGCATTCTAGCTGTACTTCTTCCAAGATAGATTCGTTCATTCTTCTGGCAGTCCATGGTATATTCAACATTCTCCGCCAACACCATAATTCAAAGGTGTCAATTCTTCTTCGGTCTTCCTTATTTATTATCCAGCTTTTGCATGCTTATGAGGCAATTGAAAATATCATGGCTTGGGTCAGGCGCACCTTAGTCCTCAAAGTGACATCTTTGCTTTTCAACATTTTAAAGAGGTCTTTTGCAGCAGATTTGCCCGATGCAATACGTCTTTTGATTTCTTGACTGCTGCTTCCAAGGGTGTTGACTGTGGATCCAAGTAAAATGAAATCCTTGACAACTTCAATCTTCTCCATTTATCATGATGTTGCTTATTGGTCCAGTCATGAGGATTTTTGTTTTCTTTATGTTGAGGAGCAATCCATACTGAAGGCTGTATGTAGTCTTTGCTCTTCATCAGTTAGTGCTTCAAGCTCTCTTCACTTTCAGCAAGCAAAGTTGTGTTGTCCTCATACCGCAGGTTGTTAACAAGTCTGACTCTAATCCTGATGCCCTGTTCTTCTTCATATTATTTGCTCGGCATACAGATTGAATAAGTACGGTGAGAGGATACAACCCTGACGCACACTTTTCCTGACTTTAAACCACGCAGTAATCCCTTTGTTCTATTCGAAAGACTGCCTCTTGGTCTACGTACAGTTTCCTCATGGGTACAATTCAGTGTTCTGGAATTCCCATTCTTCACATCGTTGTCCATAATTTGTTATGATCCACACAGTCGAATGCCTTTGCATAGTCTATAAAATACAGGTAAACATCTTTCTGGCACTCTCTGCTTTCAGCCAATATCCATCAGGTATCAGCAGTGATATCCCTCGTTCCATGTCCTCTTCTGAATCTGGCTTGAATGTCTGGCAGTTCCCTGTCAATGTACTGCTGCAATCGCTTTTGAATGATCTTCAGCAAAATTTTACTTGTGTGTGATATTAATGATATTGTTCAATAACTTCCGCGTTCCACTGGATCACCTTTGGAATGGGCACAGATATGGATCTCTTCCAGTCATTGGCCAGGTAGCTGTCTTCCAAATTTCTTGGCATAGATGAATGAGCACCTCCAGCGCTGCATCCCTTTGTTGAAACATCTCAATTGGTATTCCATCAATTCCTGGCGCCTTGTTTTTCACCAATGCCTTCAGTGCAGCTTGGACTTCTTCCTTCAGTACCATGGTTCTTGATCATATGTTGCCTTCTGAAATGGTTGAATATCGACCAATTCTTTTTGGTACAGTGACTCTATGTACTCCTTCCATCTTCTTTTGAAGCTTCCTGCATTGTTCAATATTTTCCCCATAGAATTCTTCAATATTGCAACTTGAGCCTTGAATTTTTTCTCCAGTTCTTTCAGCTTGAGAAATGTCAAGCATATGCATCATTACTGACGCATTTTAGATGACTTTTCGTTTATCCCTAGCTGCTCTTAAAATTCTCTCTTTATCTTTGGCTTTAGCAACTTTGACTATAATATGTCTTGGTGACTTTCTTTTGGGAACTACCTTGTGTGGGGTTCGATGAGCATCTTTGATAGATATCTTCTCATCTTTCATGATATCAGAGAAGTTTTCTGCCAACTAATCTTCAACAATTCTCTCTGTATTTTCTGTTATCCCCCTCTGTTCTGGAACTCCAATCACTTACAGGTTATTCCTCTTGATAGAGTCCCACATAAGTCTTAGGGTTTCTTCATTTTTTTAAATTCTTTTATCTGATTTTTCCTCAAATAAGTTGGTGTCAAGTGCTTTACCTTCAATCTCACTAATGCTGGCTTCCATTGCCTCAATTCTGCTCCTATGACTTTCTATTGAGTTGTCCAATTCTGAAATTTTGTTGTTAATCTTCTGGATTTCTCTTTGCTCTCTATGGCTTCTTGCAGCCTGTTAAATTTGTCATTGTGCTCTCCTATCATCCTCTTAAATTCGTCTATTGCTTTGTCTGTTCCTTGGCTCATTCTACATTTTGCC